GCCTCCGCCTCCCAAAGTGCTGGGATTACAGGCTTGAGCCACTGCGCCCGGCCAACATTCCTCTTTCTAACTAACCAGGAGTTTAAAAGGTCACAGCATCACTTGTCAAAAGAATGACCTTGTCTTTCAGCTCTTTCACGTGTTACAAAGTGAAAGAGAGCGTGCCCACCTCCGTAGAGCATCTGTGTTAGCCAGCAGGATTTTCAGGATTGTTTTCTCTAGGAAGGTAGATCATCATTCTATTTATTTTTTACTTTTTTCTTTTGATGTTTTTTCTTTTTTTTTAACCTGAGTTTTAAAAGAATGGAAATTTGGCCAGGCGTAGTAATTCACGCCTGTAATCTCAACATTTTGGAAGGCCAGGGTAGGTGGATCACGAGGTCTAGAGATCAAGACTAGCCTGGCCAAAATTGTGAAACACTGTCTTTACTAAAAATACAAAAATTAGCTGGGTGTGGTAGCACACACCTGTAATCCCAGCTACTCAAGAGGCTGAGGCAGAAGAATCACTTGAACCTCTGAGGCAGAGGTTGCAGTGAGCCAGGATTGCGCCACTGCACTGCACTCCCACCTGGTGGCAGTGAGACTCAATCTCAAAAAAGAAAAAAAGGAAATTTACATAAAGTGGTAGTTAGTAAAGACCTTTTTGATTCCTATGGACAAATTCAAAGCAAATTTTTAATTTTTATGTTTTATTGTTTTATAAAGGCTCATCACCTTTCAGAACAAACCTTTCTGCTTTGCTTTTCTTTTTTTTTTGAGACGGAGTCTCTCTCTGTCACCCAGGCTGGAGTGCAGTGGCGCGATCTCAGCTCACTGCAATCTCTACCTCCTGGGGTCAAACGATTCTCCCGCCTCAGCCTCCCAAGTAGCTAGGATTACAGGTGTCTACCACCACTCCCGGCTAATTTTTTTTTGCATTTTTAGGTTTCACCATGTTGGCTAGGCTGGTCTCGAGCTCCTGAACTCAGGTGATCCACCCACCTTGGCCTTGCAAAGTGCTGGGATTACAGGCGTGAGCCGCTGCCTCCAGCCTTAGAACAAACCTTTTTAACTATTTTAAGAGAGCACTTAATATGGTTTCTAATGAAATAACATACATTCTTTTAAACAAGTATAACAGTCTTACGTGCACATTAGTGTTCAGTTCATCCTTTCTGCTTCCTAAAGAAGTTCCCGCTTACACAAACATCCAGTTTCTGCTCTGGTTCCCTACCACACTGTCTTTAAACAAAGAGACTGTGGCATGGGTTGGTGCGGAGAATGGAAACCACAAAATCGATGGGAGAGTGCTGAAAATGGCCCTACTCAAGTCATGGTGACTTAGCCTATGTCAAAACCTGTTAGAAGTACTGTTTACCAGCAATTACAGTCATTACACCTGTCCACTGGGCTTTCAGAAGTATCCTCTGTTTCTGAGATTTAAAGTCCCTACATTGGAATTCTTTCAGTATGTTCCTGCCATCAGTCAACAAAATACAAAAGAGTGTGCCTTAAAATACACATTTAAGTCGGTATTTGCCATGCAGTGGTTGACGATGTTTATTATGGGTCAGCCTGCCCCTGTTGCTACCAGAGCTGTGCTGTTGGAAGGCGAGTACAGAAAAAAAAAAACCAGTTTTAAAAGACAAGGTCTTTTTCCAGAGTGGTTAGATTGAGGTTCTTACACACCCTTCCTCCCTCTCCCTCACCACAAAGAGGAAATGGACATTCCTTGTAGGCTGCCTCTTCCTTCTCCCCTTCTGCCTTCCATCCAAGTCCCTACCACCACAACCACTACCAGTTTTAGATGGGTTCCTAATATGCTGCTACTTCTGCTGAAAAATTAATCATTTGTCCAGGACAAAGTGAAGGAAAATGAATAAATGCACAGACTTGTAGGTTCAAACTAGCATTCTCAGGTCCTTCTGCCAAAGGAGGAGAGGAAAATTCTACCTCCCCTTCTTCCTTTTTCTCCTGTACTTCTGGTCACTCTGGCCTTTACCTAAACATCCCCACTTGGCTCTGTATGACTTGAAAATTGAGAATGTAATCATGATCACTTTTGAAAATGTAAAACAGAAAACAGTATTATAAATATTTTTGTCAAATTCTATTCCCAAATAGGATATATAAAGGCAAATAATTTCCCTTCTGTGTATACCTTTGTTATACAAGTTAAACTATGAATGAAATACTAAAGAACAAGGCAATTTAAAAACCTCTGATGACATTGGACGTATGGTTATTTGTTTTATTTTTATGCTTTCATTAAATATACTACATTCAAAAAAACTGTAATGGGTGACTAAAAGCTTATATCTGCATCCAGTATCTTTTGTCCCAGAGTTGTCATACATTACGTGTTAAAGAATGTCTTCCTGTTGTCAAGTCCAGTAATGTTTGTATTTATTTAGTTAATTTTGCAATCTGTGAAATGGGGGATGATCTCTGAGGCTGCTAACAGCTCTACATTCATTTTGAACTTATTCATGATCCGGACTTGGTTAAGATTAAAAAACAAAAAGAATGAAAATTTACATAAAGTGGTAGTTAGCAAAGACCTTTTTGATTCCTATGAATAAATTCAAAGCAAGTTTTTCATTTTTATGTTATATTGTTTTATTAAGGCTCATCATCTTTTAGAATAAACCTTTTTGCTTTTCTTTTTTAATTTTTTTTGAGACAGAATCTTGCTGCGTCACCCAGGCTGGAGTGCAGTGGTGCTGTCTCAGCTCACCGCCATCTCTGCCTCCTGATTTTTAGAGGAATGCCAAATCATTCAGTGCATTTGGCTTCTAGGTGGTAAATTTCCCCCTGATCATAAGGCTTTCCTCAGCCTTTGAACCTTTTTGATGTACCTGGCATTCCCGAAAATGCCCTTCTCCTCAGTCTGCCCCGGTTTTTGTCCTTGCTTTCTGACCTCCTTTTTTTTTTTTGTTATTAGAGAAGAATGAGTCAGGAAAGAGGTTGCTTCATACACGCCTCACTACTTTCAGGCCTCACACGACCCTAAACCGACATCCACTTCTGTGTATTGTGTTCTGAATGTTCATACTAGTCACCAGCAGGTTTATTTTGCTATTTGGTAGTAAGATCAAGCTTAGCACATAGAAGATTCTTTGTAGTTTGGGTTTTCAGCATTTTATTTTTATTCCTCTTAGTAAAAATGTTACAGGATGTGTATGTGTGAATATGACTGAGATGATCATATTGAATTCTGTACTCAAATCTGCATTTCTGATCCACTGACTTTGTTTTTCTGTTTTCCTTTCCTGCTCACACTTGGGACAGGACAATCTTTGTTCCCCTTCCGACATCCTTCAGCTAAACCTCAGCGTTAAAAGAACTGTTGAAACACTACTTTCTCTTGGGGCACACTCAGAAGAATCCAGTTTTGTCTGTCTGTCTATCCAACTTCTGGGTTTTGTGGCATTTTACTGTACTGTAATGTTAACTCTCTGTATCCTTTATTACCGGCTCTTCCCCTCTAGCTGAAAGATTGCACTCCAGTGACTTTCCACCTCATTGCTGTGCTTGATAAAGGAGGTTTATTTCTCATTCAAAATTATTTACATAGGTGCTTTTTCTCCCCACCGGCCTCAAAGAGCTAACCAATAAAGGAGATAAATCCTTTCCTTATATGTGCAGATGAGCAGCCCATCACGTTGGTAAACATTTATGATTGCTAACAAAGAGTAAAAGACCAGCATTTTTTCTCCTGGTCATCCATCCATTCTCCTGGACTGTGGCCTTGTTTCTCTTACCATAAATGCCGAAGCATTTTTACTAATAAAATTCTGAACTTGTACTTCGAATATAATATGTAGAACTTTATTTCCAAGTCACACAATACGACTCCCATCTGGCCATTTTTCCATTCCTCACCACAGGTGTTGAAATTGTGGAGTTACTGAACATTTTCAGCAGCTGCTCATAAGGAAAATCATCGTGCCTTTTCTGATTTTGGCAGTACCCGGTCACTTAGATTTTTACTTTGAACCGTGTCCTGAAATCCTGAATTCTCACTTTATCGATAGGCACAAGTCCATCTAAGCACTTGTGGTCTGGACATTTGGAAGGTATTGGCCATTTAATCTTAATAATTTTAGTTTGGTCACAATGTTCAGTTTAAAGATGATGTAGATTCTCTAGACTGTTATTCTGAGCCCAGTGTATACATTTTAAGTGGTGCACAGCGAGCAGATGGGCTGGAGCTGACCTTTCAGGCCGGGTACCTGTCCAGGATTTACTGTGTTTGTCATGCGTAACTGAGATTCACTCCCAGGATTCTGTTTAAAATCGGAATTTGTGTAATTTCTAATATATTCAAACCATCTTAATAGTGAAACAGCAGGTGAAGTACTAGGCAGCAGTGTGTTCTGTACTCAAGGCATTGAATACTGTCTAGCTCTTTCAGAATGCTTAGTATTGAGCTGCTAGACATTAATGCTTGAAACTACTTATAATTGCAGTTAGACTCTAGTTTCATAAATGGTGTTTCTGAACATTCAGGAACCTTCTGAAGTCTGTTAACAAGATTGGGATAAAGGCTGAACTCAAGTGTGAAGAGAGATTGTGAGGAACACAAGATCCTGTTGTAGAATTCAGCCTGGGGGTCTTACTGGTTTGGTTTTCTTCCGTATTAAATGGGACAGCTATTTTAACAGGTTAAAAGACTGTTCACTGTTAATGCTGAAACACTAAACACTGTGATGATGAAAGCTTCAGTTTTCTGTATTAATAGTGCCTTTCAGAGTTTGGGGAGTTGGGATGGTTTTGTTTTTAAGATGTCTCTGAGTCAGAAATCATTCTCAAAGTTTTGTAGAGTTTTATCCCTTTAAAGAAAACACTTGTTAAAACCACACAGGCTCTCATGTGGGTTAGGAGTTATAATTGAACATTCTCTTGAGAACATACAGCCCTCCCTCTAACCCAACTGGAAGGTAAGCGTGCCCTAGAAAGCATAGGCTTCTGAGTGTAAACCACCCGGCTGCCCAGATCCCAGGGCGCCACGAGAGGAAGGGCTCAGGGAGTCAGCCTTGGAGAAAGCACGTCTCCTCTGAGAGCAGAACACTCCACAGGTTCATTTTAAATACAGTTTATCTAGACTTGCAGTAGTATTTCTACAAAGTTGATAGTTTTATTTGATCAAAAGATTAAGATTACTGTTACCTCATTTTATCAAAATAAGTATTAAATAAAAAGTAAGAAGCACAAGTACCAATAACTGCCTCAGAAATAAATACTTGTTATATTTTTTATTGTAACTGATTTTGTAAAAAAAATTCCTAGTAATACAGTGTCAGTGAAAAGCAAAAAAAAAAAAAAAAAAAAAAAAAAAATCTGGTTGTCTTCTTTAACAAACATGTATAATCTTTTTTTAGTGGAGTCAGAATTCTATATTCTGTTCTTTGTAAGAGTAATCTCTTTTCTTTCTGAATATTTAATCTTAACAGAAAGCCAGTCCTAAATGCTGCTCTTAAGATTTGCCTTTTTCTCTCACAAGAAAGGATTTAACCAGACAGATTATGCATACAAGCTGAATGTATTTAACTTCCTTAAGCAAACATTGTAAACACTTTTCACATGTTGGTAATCAAGATGTTCCTGCCTAAGCTTCTCTTGATCTTAGCCAAAAGGCTGAGAAGCTGTTTTCCTGCCTAAGCTTACATAGGAGTTCTCTGCCATAAATCAGGCTATTAAATACCAGGATATTAAATACTTTACCTTTTCAAATAACAATTTCTTTTTAATTCTGTAGTTCAGATTTTTAATTCAGACTGAGCCTTCCATGAATTATTCAAAATAGAGGGAAGTTTCTCAAACACATCTAAATCTCAAGAGCTCTGAATACACTGAGTTTCTTGCTCTGCCTGAGAACCCTGGTTTTCATAGTCAAGATTGCAATGCAGATAGTATAGAACTCATGCAGGTTGAGTTATGTCTTGAAACTATCTTGCATTCCTGTGGTAGGGAATTTATAAAGTACTTTCTCCTAAAATATAATGTCTTTGAGTCTTGAGCCATCTGGTAGCATGGAATTGTTTTTCTGTTTTTCACCTGCATATTTTATAGATCTGCATTGACTTTTTATTTATCAGAGATAAAGGATGTTGCTTTCATGCTACTTTACTGCTTTTCCTCTGTCATATGTATAAATGATGCTACTTGTCAATTTTTCAATTTTCAAAATGATCTCTATGTACTTTTAGTTGTATTAATAAAGTGACAGTGAGTGTCAGACACCATCTCTATCCAACTTATTTATACTGAAGTCAGTTTCCCAGGTACTACATTTTCCTATCTTAATTGATTATTATGAAGGGGAGAATCATTTATTTTTTCCTTTCAGTTCTATGATATTCATCTGATTTTCTTTTTTGTTTGTTTTTATGTTACGTTGTCCCATTTCAGGAGCAATTATGTTTGCCTCTCCACATTTTAGAAGAGAAAGGTTTGAGCCAGGTTGCAGCAACGGTCCAGGCTCTCCTGGAACTTGCGCCACCCAAGCAGCAGCAGCACCAGTTATCTGCTGTTTAAGGATTCGCAGGACCTTGGGCACTGGCCTGGCCAAAAGAAGGAACAGAACAACGTGGTTGCTGCTGCCAGCTGTCTGCTTAAACAGAGCTCTTATGTGTTCTCGGAAGGGACTGTTTCCATGATTCCTAACAGGAATATTTTGCTTCATTTCTCCATTTTAGGGGAGGTTATATCCATTTCCATTGAATTTTTTACAAAGACACCGTTGGCTTTGTAAATGAAACTTATCTCATTACTGAAAACCCAACACCTAACCTGACTGTGCTTTCTGAGAGAGCAGGCTTATTTCACATACCAGAAAGCACGTTGTCTGAGTTAGGCACAAGCGTGCTCTGCTGTTGTTTTTACCTGCTCTCAAGACAGCTAGTCTACTGGTTTCTAAACTCCGTTGTTCATTAGAATCTCCTCGAGTATTTGTTACATTCAGTAGGTCTGGGGTAAGCCCTAGGAATCTGCATTTTCAATAACCGCTGTACTTTTTTTTTTTTGAGAAGCAGTCCTGCTCTTGTCACCCAGGCTCACTGCAACCTCTGCCTCCCAGGTTCAAGCGATTCTCCTGCCTCAGCCTTCCAAGTAGCTGGGACTACAGGCACGTGCTACCACGCCTGCCTAATTTTTTTGTATTTTTAGTAGAGATGGGATTTCACCATGTTTACCAGGCTGCTCTCAAACTCCTGACCTCAAGTGATCCACCCGCCTTGGCCTCCCAAAATGCTGGGATTACAGGTGTGAGCCACCACGCCCAGCCCATTGCACATGTTTTTTATGTAGTGGAAACCACTGTTCAAAGCTAGATATTTGTATGTTTGGGGAGGGAGGCAATTCCCTCACTGCATTTTTTAGCCACATTTACAATGAAAAGCTATGTGACAATGAGTTAGACTATTCTGTCAAAGGCAAAAGAAAAATAATATCGAAGTCCTAGATTTTGCATAGTTTTTTTGTTTTTGTTTTTGTTTTTAGGAGTTGGGGTCTTGCCGTATTGTCCAGGCTAGACTGAAATTCCTGGGCTCAAGTGATCCTCCTGCCTCAGCCTCCCAAAGTGCTGGGATTACTGGAGTGAGCTACTGGGCCTGGTCCAAATTTTGCATAGTAAAACAGTGAAACAGATAGGTTGTATTTTAGGTCAGTGTTCTAGGCCTCCCTTCACCTCCAGTCCATCACAGAGGGTGGTTCTATGTCATCCTGTGATGTAGACAGTATAAACAAGCCCTTTTACATGGGTTCCAAATCCTTAAGCTGAGAGTGCACTGCTCTGTGTCATCTGCACTGATCTCACACAGCCTCCCTTGCCGCCCTCCTCGACACCCGGTCCTGCAGACACATTGTATTCACAGCACATACACTTCTAGCTTGGGAAAGGCAAGTTTCCTATATTTCCTTCAGGGAACTGCCAGTTTCTGTGGCTGAATTAAAGCACTTACGGCATCTTTAAAACAGCTTCCTGTCTTTTCCTCCCACTCCCCATGTGGTTCTACCACTAGGGTGGAGGAAAAGGCTCGGGGCTCACACACACCATCAGGGGCCTTCAAGTTTCACCTGCTTGGGTTTTCCTTCCCCTACATTTGGACCCCATTTAGTTGGTGATATCTTTTGGTGCTCACTGCCCTTGTAAAACAGTAAGTAAAGTAAGTGGAAGATATTAGTTATCTTTTTTTTTTTTTTTTTCTGTAGTTGTTAACTGTTCTGGATTTTCTTTCCCAATGCATGCATTTGGGCATAATGTTATCCCTCTTTTTAACATGTAAATGTACCTTCTAAAAGTAGCTTTGGATCAAATCATGTTGAGTATCTGGTCAAAGTAATATTTTCTTCCTTGTTCTTGCAGAGAAACAAGTTCATCAGAACATTACCACTTTGACCAGGTTTAAAGTTGTATAACAGGCTGGGCCTGGTGGGTCATGCCTATAATCCCAGCGTTTTGCGAGGCTCAGCAGGAGGATCACTTGAGCCCAGGAGTTTGAGAGCAGCCTGGGCAACATAGCAAAACCCTGTCTCCCAAAAATTAAAAAAAATCCAGGTGTGGTGGCACATGCCAGTACTCCCAACTACTCAGGAGGCTGGGGTGGGAGGATCACTTGAGCCTGGGAAGTCAAGGCTACAATGAGCCATGATTGCACCCCTGCACTCCAGCCTGAGCAACAGAGTGAGGCCCCATCTCTAAAAATAAATTGTATAACATAAAACATCTGCACACAATGCCCTATCTTATAGAACAAAAGTAAAATGTCTATTTAAGCACTTAAGCCAGACCCCATTGCATTTACAGTTCCCAGCAGACCCATCAACCCTTATGTAACTTGTTTAGAATTTAGCCATGTGTATTTTTAAACTGTACTAGTCAACAGTAAGCCTCAGTACAGTCTCCAAATTACATGAAATGAAACTCAGTAAAGGACAGGATTGTTTTTAACATACTATGCAAGCCAGCCTGGCCAACATGGTGAAATCCCGTCTCTATTAAAAATTAAAACATTAGCTGGGCATGGTAGCAGGCACCTATAATCCTGACTTCTCGGGCAACTGAGGCACGAGAATCACCTCAACCTGGGAGGCGAAAGTTGCAGTGAGCCAAGATCATGCCAGTGCACTCCAGCCTGGGTAACAGAGCAAGACTCTATCAAAAAAAAGGCTGGGCGCAGTGGCTCACACCTGTAATCCCAGCACTTTGGGAGGCCGAGGTGGGCGGATCACAAGGTCAGAAGATCGAGACCATCCTGGCCAACATGGTGAAACCCCCGTTTCTACTAAAAATACAAAAATGTTAGCCGGGTGCGGTGGCGTGCCTGTAGTCCCAGCTAGTCAGGAGGCTGAGGCAGGGGAATCGCTTGAACCCCGGGCGATGGAGGATGCCGTGAGTCGAGATAGAGCCACTGCACTACAGCCTGGGTGACAGAGCAAGACTACAGAGCATAATACAGTACTTGCAACATTTGCAACTTATTTTCCCATAGCAATAAATGGAAATTTCAACTTATTTCAAATTTTGCACATATTACGAAACCACCTTAATGTATTTTTATCAAAGTAAATCAGATTTGTATTTGAATTGTTAGGAAAAACTGCAGTTTTGGCTGATAATTGAAGGAAAAATATCAAATACATTGAAGTTCTTTCTGTCAGACCTTCTGCAGAGGTATGAATTTCTTTTGTATCAAGATGTAAAAACAAATCATGATGCTTTTGTTGGGATAATTTTTGTATTCAGTATTTTGTATGTACCTTTTAAAAAAAAAATTGGAAAGCACAATTCAGTTTAACCTTTAGCTTTGCTTGACTCCAGCATAAGATGAAGATGACCTGGCCACCGTTCCGCTGACCTGAAGCAGTGACCTTCCCAGCACTGACAGTGTCAACAGGCTGACAGTCCCCCCAGCAGAGCCCTTGCCACTGACAGAGGTTTTCGGTCAGCAGTTTCCAGGATTTCAGACTCACAGGCTATGCTTTGCACCCCAGTGTTTTCTTGTAATTACCAGGTGTGGAAACAACCGTGGGAAGAGGGGCCTTTGTATTCCTCTGGAACACAGAGCAGGAAGATCTTAGTAGTAGACTACTTTCCTTAAGAGCTATTTAAAATACAGCTAATCAAGGAGTTTGCGATATTTCTTTCTTTCTACAGCTCGGCAGTGACTGATGATGTGTGACTATGCTGATGAGTTTGATGAATTCGTAGAAACTAAGCTCTTAAATGGTTATAGAAATGAAGGAAAACATAGATATTTAGAAGCATTTCTATATACACAGTGCAGTGAGGTGGTTTACAGCAAATGTCATTTTATTTCTGAAAATGTTGTAAACATGTAATTAGTGAAAGATTTTGTAAAACATTGTCCTGTATTTCTATGTCTGTAAATATATTGCATAAGTTCTAAGTATAAATATGTCAATATCATGTATGTTATTTTAAATTGCCTGTATGCCACTTTATATGTTGACATTAAAATAAAAGCCAACACTTCAGTGGGACGTAATAAAAGCTGATTGGAGAACGTTCATAACTGAAATATGGTTCCTTTGGCAAAGGTGCATCAGGTAAAGGGCATGTCATTTCCAGAAGGAAAGTCAGTAGAAATGGGGGCTTCTGGATGGATAGTCTTTTGAGTTAAAATTGATTTTCTTAAGGAAGTACAGATATCAAGACTGTTTTAGGCCGGGCACGGTGGCTCACGCCTGTAATCGCAGCACTTCGGAAGGCCGAGGCGGGCGGATCATCTGAGGTCGGGAGTTCCAGACCAGCCTGACCAATAAGGAGAAATCCTGTCTCTACAAAAAATAAAAACTAGCTGGCGTAGTGGCACATGCCTGTAATCCCAGCTACTTGGGAGGCTGAGGCAGGAGAGTCACTTGAATCTGGGAGGCAGAGGTTGCAGTGAGCCGACGTCGTGCCATTGCACTCCAGCCTGGGCAACAAGAGTGAAACTCCATCTTAAAAAAAAAAAAAAAAAAAAGACTGCTTTATTTGGAGTGAGTTAGATAGAAGTTTAATTCATGAAATGTTAGTGACATGTTCGGGCAGCGTTTCTCTTAGAAATTACCAGCTGTGCTTTAGGGAAACCTTAGCATCCCAAGATGTTCTGTTTTGTCATCAAGGCAAGAATGACGTGGTGGGCTCATATTTTTTTCTAGGAGAAGAGGGAGAGTGACAGTCACAGGTTAGGTATTTTCACACACCTTGTCTATTTTCATCTTAATACCCCATCTGGTGGGAATTGAGTAAGCAAAGCAGGTATTGGCCTGAGGGTTTCACTTGTCAAAAAGATCTCCAGACTACCCTTCCAGAGAACCTATGTCCCCATCTTTACAGTTTGTAAAGTTTTATATCCTAACATCCTATTTCTAGCTTGTATTTATAATTTGTATCCCTACCTATTTCCCAGAAAAGTTGTGGAAGCAGCTCATAATTGGATATGTATTCCATGCCATTTTCACCCCAATAAAAACACCAACGTGATGATAAATGTAAAAAGCAGGCAGGAACCAACATTTATTAAAACTTTACTGTGTATGTATTATGCTGGACAGCTAATAAACATCACTTTATAATTCCTACTCAATACTTTTGCTCATAAGAATTTTTTCACTACAGACAATTGGGTAAAAGCAGAATCAGACATTACAGGAATTACTGAAGTTTTAATGCATCGCTGGTACTAGGACAAAGAACTGCTTGGTTCTGCTGAGAAAGAGCAAGAAGAATGAATCTTCACAGGACTACCAGAAACTTCTTTACAGCAAGGTATGAGAAAGCCCTAAGTCAATGGTATAATCCTAAATCAGAGAGTGAAATCAGCAGGCTTCGCCTGGAAGCATCTCCATAGGAAACAACTTGTAGATGAGTCACCTGTGATGGTATGAGGCGGTTCTTACTCTCTCCACGCCCTTCCCACCTCCAGAGTACCAGAGGAAAAGACAGAAGATAACTTGGTCACTTCTTGCCTCTCTTCTTATCCTTGCCTTTGCCTTTTCCTTTTGAATCCTTGCTATCAACTTTGTCTTTAGGCATCCTGAAACCACCAATTTCCTTCCGTATCATAGTGCCTCGCCACCAGGCCTGGATCTGGAGGAGGAAAGGGGGTGAGTACAACGTAAGTTGTGAACATTGGTTCTGTCCACGTAAAGGGATTGTTTAGTAAAGTAACGTGTCTGAAAAATGGTCTCTATGCAGCACATGGAAGTGGCAGGGCACGTAATCACTATAGCCATGCTCTCCTGTTGTGCAGGACCTGGAGCGTAAGCCATGAACTCGAGTGAAGTTCTCAAGGAGTAAAAAAGGAATCTGATTTGGCCTACTTTTTCTACATACTTGGAAATCTGACTTCCACCAGGCACGGTGGCTCTCACCTGTAACCCCAGCACTTTAGGAGACATGTGGCATCATCTGTGCATTTTTGGCCGAGTGTTTGCCTTTGCCCTTGGCCCAGGTAACTAACATTCTTTTGGTTCAAGTAGCTGGTAGGTATGGGGAACCTGGCCTTTCTTCAAGGAAAGCAGTATAAAGAAGTCAGATTTCCTTTTTTTTTTTTTCTTGAGACGGAGTCTCGCTCTGTTGCCAGGCAGTGGCACAATCTCAGTTCACTGCAATCGCCGCCTCCTGGGTTCAAGCAATTCTCCTGCCTCAGCGTCCCGAGTAGCTGGGATTACAGGTGTGTGCCACCACACCGAGCAAGTTTTTCTATTTTTAGTAGAGATGGGGTTTCACCATGTTGTCAGGCCGGTCTTGATCTCTGGACCTCGTGATCCACCCACCTCAGCCTCCCAGAGTGCTGGGACATTACAGGCTTGAGCCACTGTGCCCTGCTAATACTGCTTTAAGTTTTTGCTTACAAGTATTTCATGTGATCTGTGACCTGTCAGTTTCATCATCACTGATGTATACAAGTTCATATAAAACCAAAAAAAAAAACCTCTTTTTTTCTAACCTGCTGCTTACCCTTCCCACCTAAGCAGCTTGTATCAGAACCCAGCAGATAGTTGGGGCTGATTTATAAGCAGGATTTTCAGAAGTAGTAGCATATTAAAAAGACTCTGTCAAGAGCCGGTTTTGGTTAGACATAGTATTCTCACATTTTGTCTCTGGGCCTAGGTTTTGCTTCCACTGCTAACCACTTCTTTTTCCCCAGATGAAAAGCTGGGGCACGTCTTTACAACTGTCTCCCTGCACCATGGACTGTGTTGGCAAATTCTAATAATGACAGAAGTCCATGCTGCTGCTCAGATCTCCAGTTCCTTGGTAAGCCAAGATGCGTCTGATAATGAATGAGAAATGCTTTTGTGTTCCTCAGTGTTAGGCCGGCTATGGTGAGATACTGATGATGGTTCTTTACCTTTATGACGCTCTTTAATTCCAAGAGATTCTGTTCTGCCTTCTTCCTGCTCTTCTCCTTTTCTATACGATCTTCAATGATGACCTGTTCATACTCTCTTATCTGCAAGGATAGACATTAATCATTTATTACCGAACTGTCTTGCCTAAGCTGCAGCCCAGTCAGCCCTGTGCTTTTAATATAAAATTCCAAAATAAAATATGCCAAATCTAAAGATAAACCAAAGAAAAAATTTTGTAGATACCTAGATTGGAAATATTCACATACTAACTTTATAATTGTTCCCAAAACTTTTCCGTTTTAATAATTCAATTTTATGTTTCATAAAAAATGAAATATGAATTAATGTGTGATTAATGACCTCGAAATAACATTGCATTTTTAAAACACTTTGGGAGAATGTACATATACAAATAGTAGCTGTTTGTTGTTGTTTTGAGACAGAGCCTCACTCTGTCACGCAGGCTGGAGTGCAGTGGTACAATCTTGGCTTACTGCAACTTCCTCCTCCTGGATTCAAGTGATTCTTGTGCCTTTGCCTCCTGAGTAGCTGGAATTACAGGTGTGTGCCACCATGCCTGGCTAAGTTTTGTATTTTTAGTAGAGATGGGGTTTTGCCATGTGACCCAGGCTGGTGGAAATTTGGCCAGGCACAGTGGCTCACACTTGTAATCCCAGCACTTTGGGAGACTGAGGTAGGCGGATCATGAGGTCAGAAGACTGAGACCATCCTGGCCAATGTGGTAAAATCTCATCTCTACTAAAATACAAAAAACTACCCAGCAGTAGAGGCGCACACCTGTAGTCCCAGCTACTCAGGAAGCTGAGGTGGGGGAATTGCTTGAACTTGGAGGCAGAAGTTTCAGTGAGCCGAGATTGCACCACTGCACTCCAGCCTGGCAACAGAGCAAGACTCTGTCTCAAAAAAAAAAAAAAAAAAAAAAGAAAAGAAAAAATCAGGAAATCTGTACTTATTCCATAATGAAACCATAATCACAAGCTTGTTAGAAATCATCATTGACAAAGTGTCTTCAGAGATCATAGTGTAGAAATAATAGTATCTACCTCAAGGGGTTGTGCGGGTTAAATAAGTTGTAGATGTAAAATACTAGAAAAGCGCCTTGCACAGAGTAAGCACTGTGTAAGTGTTAGCCACTGCTTCTGTCCCCATCAGCAGCAGCAGCATCTAAAAAGAATCTTGGTGGTTTATAAGCACACCTCCGCTTTTGACCCAAAATAGCAATACCAGCTACTGTAACTTAGTTACTACTCACTATGCAGTGAGTGCTCTGATGACCTCCTTACCGTCTTTGCGAGGTCTTGAAGGTGTGCTAAGTCACTGGCCTTTGCAGCTTTGAGAGCATTTAGTTCACTCTGCTTCATTTCTGTGTCCCTATCATATTTCTCCATCCAGAACTCTAGCCTCTCCTCAAGTTTCTATTTGGAGAGAACATGAAAACGTGGCATTCACCAGACACAAAACACTGTATACCATATGATTCCACTTATATAAGTTTCAAGAATAAGCAAAACTTTCTATAGATAGAGGTCACAGCAGTAGTTACTTATCTGGATTGGGAATGGGGGGTGAGGGAGAATTTAGGATGCTGTAAATGTTCTCTGTATCCGGGTGGCAGTTAGATGAATGTGTATACATAAACGTTCATCAAACTATACACTAAGTACTTACACATTTTACTTGTATGTTAGTCAATTTAAAAATAGGGGGAGGAGGGTCATCTGGATGTCTGGATAAGGGAAGTTGCAATGGAGAGGAAAGAAAAGTATGTAAAAAAGTCTGAAGGTAAGGAAAAGCATCAGATATCTCTTTGGTTGACAGCACTAAATCCTAGTCAAGAAGGATACAATGTCTTCAAAATTTTAAAAGAAAATGAATGTGAATCAAAGATTGTACACCTAGCCAACCCAGCATTCAAATGTGAGGGAAAGAGACTAAACCCAGTCTTTCTGAAAGAGTTATTCAAGGATGTACTACTGTAGCAAAATAAAATGAAAGATATATTAAGAAATGGAAAGGAACCAGTAAAACATATAGGATATGTGATACTTTTTAATCATAAGTCGTAATTCAGAATTAAAATCCCAAAGTAGGCAGGATAGTCTAGTTGAAAGAGCACAGGCTCTTAAGTTTCAAATCCCAACTCTAGCAGTGAAGGAAAGTTTACTGACTTTCTGTAAGCCTCTGGCTCCCTCATATACAAAGTTCTATACCTAGCCAATAGTACACTATTACTATTACAGTAATAGGACAAACCTCAGAGGGTGGTTTTGATGCTCAAGATCACCCTTGTACACCCACAGTGCACATATATGGGTATAAAATATCTGTATATTTATATATAAAATGAATGATTTCAACATGGGATGAAGGGGGAGAGAAAAATGAAATCTTTGCCTTAATAAAGTCAAGAAGGTATAAATATTGATTAACCCTAGGCAGATAAATTTTAAAAGTGTAGAAAGAGATGGTAACATTTTAAGAGTTGTGCTTACTTCAGTAACATATATACCAAAATTGGCCAGGTGCAGTGGCTCACACCTGTAATCCCAGCACTTTGGGAGCCCAAGGCAGGTGGATCACCTGAGGTCAGGAGTTTGAGATCCACCTGACCAACATGGAGAAATACAAAAATACAACATTAGCTGGGCATCTCTACTAAAAATACAAAATTAGCTGGGCATGGTGGCCCATGTCTGTAATCCCAGCTACTTGGGAGACTGAGGCAGGAGAACAGCTTAAACCTGGGAGGCAGAGGTTGTGGTGAGCCGAGATCGCACCATTGCACTCCAGCCTGGGCAACAAGAGTGAAACTTCATCTAAATATATATATAAATTGGAACAGTACGGAGATGATTAGCGTGACCACTGCGCAAGAGTGACACACAAATTTGTGAAGCATTCCATATCTGTGTACTTTCTAGAAACAAAAAATTTAAAGGTTACCCCTAAAAGAACAGAAGTGTGTAACTTGCAGACTCTTAGACGATGTACCTCAAGAGTGACACATTGAGAGGTTACTTTAGGTGATACATAGCGTAGAATGTTTTTAAAACATGGCTATAGTTAATCATTCTGGTTACACTGAGTAGGGTGGCTTGTGCCTGTAATCCCAGCGGTTTGGAAGGCAGAGGTTGAACGATTGTTTGAGACTAGGAGTTTGAGGCCATCCTGAGCAACACAGTGAGACCCTATTTCTACAAAAATGTTTTTAATTAGCCAGGTGTGGTGGCCTGCATCTGTGGTTCCTAGCTACTCAGGGCTGCACAGGATGATTATTTCAGCCCAGGATTTGAGGGTGCATTAAGCTATGATTATACGCCACTGCACTCCAGCCTGGGCAATGGAATGAGAGCCAGTCTCTTATAATCACTCTGATTCTGTTAGAGTAACATGTCAGTTTGGTGCTATCACATCTCTTCTATCTTCTCTTTCTTTTGTTAACACTTTTTTAAAAAACCCCAAAAACAAGGAACAAGCTTCAGGCAAACAAAAAGGCCTGGCTACAAGGCAATAACATCATTTGGTATTTTTTGTATTTCTATTCACATTATTTTATTTATTCATTTACTTTGAGATAAGGTCTGGCTTTGACACTTAGACTGGAGTACAAAGGCATGATATTAGTTCACTGCAACCTCTGCCTCCAGGGCCCAAGTCATCCTCCCATCTCAGCCTCTTGACTAGCTGGGACTACATGTGTGCAACACCATGTCTGGCTACTTTTTGTATTTTTTGTTAGAGACAGGATCTCACTGTGTTGCCCAGGCTGGTCTCAAGCTCTGTGTTCAAGCGATCCACCCACATCAGCCTCCCAAATTGCTGGGATTACAGGTGTGAGCCACCATGCCCAGCCTACTTATAGTAATTTATATTTATGGAAGGTGATACTGGTTTTTCCTTTTATAGTAATGATATAAAAATCTTAAAATGAATTGATTTATCTGTTTAGGTGAATAATTAAGTAGAAAATATTGGCCAGGTGCTGTCTCTCATGCCATAATCCCATGTCTCTCTCAGCACTTTGGGAGGCTGAGGCAGGAGGATTACTTGAGTCTGGGAGTTTGAGATCAGCCTTGGCAACATGGTGAAAAAAAGGAAAATTAGCCAGGCACGGTAGCATAATATACACCTACTATGTGCCCACAAAAATTAAAAGTTAAAAAAAAAGTTTAGGAAAAAAGTTTTAAGTCCATAAATCAATTTACTAATGGTCTATTAATAGAATAACTGTAATTGGGTAAAGTTTATCCCAAGAATTTGAAAATGACTCAATATCAGCAAATCTATTAATGTGTTTATTAACACATTAAAGAAAACAATATCATCTCAATGAATGAAAAAAAAATTCATCTCATAAAATTGAGTACTCTTCCTGATTAGAAAAAAAAACTTTTAGGAAGACCAGACTAAAAAGATACTTCCTGAAGTTGATAGTTTAATCTACCAGAAACCTACAGAGTAAACCTCACACTTGATGATTAAAAAAATAAAAACTCGGCCGGGCGCGGTGGCTCAAGCTTGTAATCCCAGCACTTTGGGAGGCCGAGGCGGGTGGATCACGAGGTCAAGAGATCGAGACCATCCTGGTCAACATGGTGAAACCCCGTCTCTACTAAAAATACAAAAAATTAGCTGGGCATGGTGGCACATGCCTGTAATCCCAGCTACTCAGGAGGCTGAGGCAGGAGAATTGCCTGGACCCAGGAGGCGGACAACGGTGAGCCGAGATCGTGCCATTGCACTCCAGCCTGGGCAACATGAGTGAAACTCCGTCTCAAAAAAAAATAAAATAAAATAAAAAAATAAAAATAAAAACTCCTTTGTGCCAGTTACCGGTTTATTGCCTGTCAGCGCCACATCCATCTTTGCTTTGTGAAAATGGGTGCCTGCTATTAACATTTTTCTTGCCAGCTGACAAAATGCTAAACTATGTCAGTAGAGGGCACTGCAGGGACACGACAGGAGGCTTCTCATCTTTTCGCGGGGTTGCTAGCGGTGTGTGGGTGGGACCCCCAGTGGCGCTCGTTCACATGTGGTATCGTTTTACTGATACCACAGCAGGAGGGTTCTTGCTTGCCAAACACATTATGACCTAGCGGGGTTTGTCCCAAAAATTTAAAGATGACTCAAATCAGCAACTCTATCAATGTATTTTCCTTTATTAACATATCAAAGGAGAAAAAATACCACAATGGACAAAAAAAGCCCCTTTTTTTTTCCCCTTAATTGAGTACACATCAAGATTAGGAAAGAAAAAACTTTTAGCAAGGTCCACAGTTCCCTGCTTGCCAGCCTTATTCTGCCAGCTGTGAGCCAGCTCTGGCCCAAGGCAACCCAGCAAACATTGCTGGCATCCAGTGGGCACAGCCATACTGTCTCCAATGAAGCCTGAACCTTAGCCTTGGGAAGGATTTTCAGGCCAAGGAAGTCTGGTATCCTCAGACACAGGAGGGCAGGCTGCTTCCACTGGCAAGCGAGCTTTAAAGTAATTTGACCAAGATTGTCAGTTTCATCCAAATCCAACCAGATGTTCCCATTCACAGTTTCAGGGGTCTGTTCTTTTCCTCTGAATGCTCTAACTTGCATATGAGAAACTAAGCATGACTTTGATGAATTCATGTGTAATCCTGACCAAAACACCAGAAAAATGGTGTCGTAACCAATAATAGAAAAATGATGCCCAATTGGCTGGGCGCAGTGGTCTAACTCATTCTAATCAGGATGAGTTAGACCCTAACTCCTGACCTCGTAATCCGCCTGCCTCAGCCTCCCAGAGTGCTGGGTTTATAGGTGTGAGCCACCACACCCGGCCTTGACTGAATACATTTTAAGTCATAAATTAAGTCATAATTAAAAATTATGAGTATACAGCAATACAGGAATAAAAAAATTTTTTTTCTTTTTTTCTTTTTTTTTTTTTTTTTTTTTTTTTTTTTTTTTTTTTTTTTTTTTTTTTTTT